AAAGAGGATGAGAAAGAGTGAAAGATTTGCTTAAATTAGGACTTATAGGGAAAGCAGAGTTTTTGTTTTCTTTTTAATTTGGTGAGTTCTTACAGATACCATAGAAAATAAACCATGATTACAATAACCTAATTCCCTTTAAAATATGAACTGAATGTCATTTGAAGCAATGAGAATTTTTAAAGGTTTCAAATTTAAACCTTAAAGAGGATTCACATAAATAAATCTTATTCCAAAATTACTTAGCACCCATCTCTTAGAATAAATAAAGTTACTGGGGTAGGGAGTAGAATTATCGTTGGTAGACCCAGTTTGTTTAGCTCCATAATCATTAACTTTGAAATACACAGTAAAACTTCCCAGTACAATTCTGTATATACTGAGTCCATGGAAACTTAGGGACCTCGTTGTCCCCCAGGATACCAGGCTCCTTCTCTGTTTTCACTTTGGCAGGAGGCACTGTGCTAAGTGCTTTGCAAGTACATCTCAGGAGTAACAATTGCTGTATCTTCTAGTTCCAGAATAAAAGTTGAGAATCATCAATTAGCAAACATTTATCTATTTTGTGCTGTAGTTTTGTAAGACTGCTTCCAATCCGTCAGTAGAAACATACTGTAGTTTAAATGTTTTTCTTAAACTGTCTGTTATATATTTAATTTAGATAGGTAAATATATAATTCAGATGAGTTGATATTCTGTGCAGGGGCTATTATAACTCTATCAGAATTATGAAAATATTTGAGAACTATGAGATTTTTTTTTCTTTGCTCAAGGAGCTAACATATTGTTTAAGGAGACAGAATTAGGCACAAGGAAGAATTATAGAATATTTTACTCAATAGTGAAGTTGTGTCATGAAATATAAAAGATTACAATTGAAGGGATCATGTGGACTGGAAAATTTTATGGAGGGAGATTAGGATTTGAGAGATTTGAAAGGTTTAAAAGCATGGGCATTGTAAGCAGAGGAGACTGTAGGCAATAACTGAGCATAGGTTGAGGGAAGGGATCATAAACTGACTGGGCTGCTAAGACCTTCAAGCAAAGGATAAGTGGGAAGTTAGTTTAAAATTGATCAGATTTGTAGGTGATGACCAGATTTGTAGGTTTTGACCATAGTGATGGCATAATATCAAAGAGGTGTTTTAGGAAAATAAATATGGGAGTCACATTGAAGTGGGGGCTTATTAAGTTTTGCTTGAGATGGAAAGAAAGGAAGCAGGGAGACTTTAATTTGGGAAAACTAATTAGGAGACACAATTAATAGGGCTGAGAATCAGAGGTGGGTAGGAGGAAAAAGAATGAATGATGGATACCTTGAATTAAAAATTTACAAAGTTTGAGGACCATTTGAATGCCTGCAGCAATAGAAAAGGAGAGTGGCCTCCCAAGATGGTTCATCTCTGGAGGCTGACGGGGGAAACTGAGAGAAAGCTGAATATGGGTGACCTGTGTGTAAGGGGAAGAGATTCCACTGGTTTTTAAACTCGATGAGTTCAAAATGTAACTTTTGCATGTTGCAGTATAGAAATTGAAAACATCAAACTGGAATGCAAGTGTAACTGAGAGCTAGGGATGTACTAGAAAGGCAGTGGATTTCAGCTGCCAGTAATTTCACTGCACCGAAGAGTGACAGACATAGAACTATATAGTTGGCCACATTTTAATTATTCACATTTGTTCTGTTCTCTGTATTTAGGACTATTGTTGGGAAGACCATGGTTATTCTTTGGTAAATCGTCTTTATCCAGATGTAGGACAGTTGATCGATGAAAAATTTCACATTGCTTACAATCTTACTTATAATACAATGGCAATGCACAAAGATGTCGATACCTCAATGCTAAGACGCGCTATTTGGAACTATATTCACTGCATGTTTGGAATAAGGTTAGTCTGTTTTCTTATGTTTATGAAGAGGTATTTTCCTTTAGCCTAAATTATTTAGGTGCTTGGAACACATATGCACAGACCTACGTTAACATACTCAAAACCATCCCCTCCCCAATAGCTTATTTTTATGTATTTTGTGCTTCAAAAACTTGATGTTTTGCAGCTTGGTGTGTTTTCTCTTGCCTAGCTAAGCAGGAGGGAGAGTTAGGAATGCTGACAAGAGTTAAATAACAGATGCCTCCAGGGAAGAGGAGAGCAAGCAAGCTGGCCCAAGAGCATAGAGGAAGAGGCAAAGTTTGTCTCTGAACATTTATGGTATCTTTTCCCTTTGTGTCATCTTTTTTTATCTCCTGACACACTCATACTTCTACCTTCATGGAACTTAGAACTCTTACAGTACCCTTCTAAAGAGTACGTACTCCCATGATATTTCATCAAAATACAAAACTTTCATATCCTGTTAGGTATTCAGCCACATTTATTATGCTATATAGGAGACAGAGCCATCATAAACCACCTTCTAACATACACAAACAACCATGCTGTGGTACTTTCTGATTATTTTAGCTGTAAAGTCAGACTTTCTTCTTGCTTCTTCACTTTATCAGTAGCCATGCTATGACTTTAGGCTCCTGAATGGTTATATAGGACCTGCTTTCTTCCTTTTCTACTAAAAACCAAATAGGAGACTTCAGTTCTAGGAACTATCTGCCAGTGGGGCAGAGGAGACATTGGTGCCTATGACCATGTTGGCTTAGCCTTTCCTAAGTAGATACTGTGAAGCCATCTAGAGACTGATTCTTTCCTCTCAGACACCTCTTCCCCCTTTTTTCTCATCTGACCCCAAGAACTCCTGGAAACATAAGAAAAAAAATTTATTTACACAAATAGATTATAATTGATATATCATGTAATAGTATCAATAAGTATTATTGTCTGATTAATTTGTTAATTGCTTAATATCAGCAATACTCAAACTTTGTTTCCAGAATTTGTTCCTCAGTGTGGTTGCTTATTCATGATTGTAAATATATACTGTTGCTTGGGCACTGGCAATTTTTTTGTTCATCTAACTTCTCTGTTTCTTATCCCTTTATACTCATTCATCCACCCCCAATGAAACATTGTAAAGCTGTCATTTTGGGGGACAGCTACCTACACAAAGAGGGGGAAAGAATACAGCATTTACTATTGATGTCTGCACTTCCATAAGAAGAAAACAGACTATACATCAAAAATATAATAATTCTTACATTGTCTTTTAACAGATATGATGACTATGACTATGGTGAAATTAACCAGCTATTGGATCGTAGCTTTAAAGTTTATATCAAAACTGTTGTTTGCACTCCTGAAAAGGTTACCAAAAGAATGTATGATAGCTTTTGGAGGCAGTTCAAGCACTCTGAGAAGGTAAGTAACTTAGCAGTGTTTAACTTAGCAGTGATCCTTATTCTCCTTCACCTAGTCTAATGGGTCTCAAACCCCTTCCATCACCTCTACCAACCCAGAGAAGAACATTCCAGATCAGCTGTCTCACATACCCCTTGGAAGGGGGAACCTCATTATGGTTTAAATAAAGACAGGGAGAACAGGTGTGCTGTTCTCTCCTCAGAGTGCTGGCATCACTGTAACTGCCTAAGAGAAAGAAGAAAGTGTTTGTGAATGATGATTTGGCGGGGAAGTTGTTATTCTAATAAACCTTCAAGAAGAGATGTGATCGAATATAAATATAAGCTCAAAACATCTATCCAAAAAAGATCGGACAGCTTTTGTTTTGAGAAACTGATGTTATTCAGTGGCACACAGAAAACATTTCTAGTGTTTATTAGATGCACTGAAACTGATTGTGAATGCTTATAACCCTCTTTTTTTTTTGCATCTTTATTGGAGTATAATTGCTTTACAGTGTTGTGTTAGTTTCTGCTGTATAAGAAAGTGAATCGGTTATATGTATACATATATGCTCACTGAACCCTATCTTAAATGATAATGTGTTTTATATTCAGGTTCATGTTAATCTGCTTCTTATAGAAGCTAGGATGCAAGCAGAACTCCTTTATGCTCTGAGAGCCATTACCCGCTATATGACCTGATGCCTTTCCTCCATTAAAGAAGATGAACGATCAGCAGATATAGTCCTACAAGGGGAAGGTACTAAGCCCCAGGACCAATGGTAGATAAAAGAATTCAGAAATCCATTGTGCCATGATTCCTTTAGTTTCTGCTATTTTACTGTGGAAATGCCACTGCTGGCACAAGCAGTGAGTGCTTGGCAGCTTCAAGTTTAGAGCTGTGAAGAAGGGCTGCTGTTCACAGTATTTTGCTTTTTGACAGTACAAGATGCTGTATTAACTCTTTTAATACAGCAAATAGTAACTCTCAAAATCCTGTTGCTTTTATGTTAAAAAATAACAAGAATTGGAGCATGCAAAGAATGGGACTTTGATAATGATGTAAGCTTTTATATTGATACATAAAAGGATTTTGATTTTAGATATTGGTGCTGCTATTCCTGCTGGTGGAATGAATAGAGTGGCTGTTCCAGTTAAGCTATTAGTAATAAAGTGAACACTGCTACTATCTGAGCCTACATACATAATTTTTGTGGTTTCAAATTAAACTTGCATATGTGTTAATTTTTTTTGCATCTAAAATTACAGCTCGGCAAAGACCATTATGATGGTAACAGCTCATTTCTTTCATATAGTTTTTTAATTCAGAGTTATTGGATGATATTAAATTACAGTGTCATTCTTAAAGATTTTCTTCAAAAAGCAATCTTAAATGAATGTGTAAATTATAAGAAAAGCTGGCTACCTTTTGATATGCTGTTTCCCAAGATTCTCTGACACTGGAGGGCAGCTGTCTTGTATTTTTGTTTCCAGCACCAAAGTTATGGGAAATATTGCTGTAGACTGCTGCGCAGTCCCAGGTGCATTCTGCCCCTCTGCTCCTGCCCACCTCATGGTCCCCACTTCAGAGGTTGTACAGCTCCTTAAATAATAAAGCTGGAAAATTAGGTTATCAAATTTGATTGCTCCTTAAATAATAAAGCTGGAAAATTAGGTTATCAAATTTGATTTACAAAAATGCTAGCTTTGTTTGAAATGCAAACAGGCTTGAAAAAAATGTATTAAGTACTTTGTATTCTGGAGGCGTGAACTGCTTTTGAAGTCTGTCAGTATTATTGGTATTTTTCAATAAAGAATAATTTTTCTGTTTTTTTGCTGTCTCAGTCTCTTAAAAAGTCATGACTTCACAATCGGTAGCTATGTTGTTTCTTTTGACTTTTTCATTAGCCATCACACTTAAATAATTCTGTAATCAGATGAGAGACTATTAAATGGCAAACTCTTGAAGTCACTTTGAAAGATAGATATAAAGAAAAGTTTTAATCTTGGAAATAACTGGTACAGCCCCATGCCTTGTCCATTTTGAACTGAGGTGGACTGAGATGTTTCAGAGGTCAAATAGAATTATTAAAAATTATTAGAAACAAAGGCTAATTAGGGAGCCACTACAGAACAAAAAATGACACTGTCAAACAATTAGAAATAGCTCTAAATTTAATCAAAGCTGTTGTAATAACTCTCTTACTCATCTGTGGGATGGGAGGCACAGTTTTGAATGGAGGTGATGTACTTACCTTCACGGCTGTACACCCTATTGAGAAGATAAGACTATCACCTTAGATAAAAATTATCTTCAATATATTTAAAGATATACATAAGCCCATTTCTAGTCAGCTTACAATAATATACAAATGGTCTTACCTATTGAATTTGCGTCATACCTCTGCCCTTTTCTGTCTGCTGCTGGGTTTTTTCATCATAGCAATACAGGTGAATCCAACAAGTGAAGTTGCACTGGATTTAGTTAAATTTTTACTCATTCTGCTTCTGCTCTTTGTTCTTTGCACTTGCTCTCGAAAATACAAAATTTCTAATAGAGGTTCTAATCAGTAGTAGGATGATCACAAAACAAGATAAACTGAATTCATTATCTTCTTTCACTGACGCTTATAAACTACTTACAAATCAAATCACGATTTGAAATTTTAATGAGTAAAAAAGTGTGCTTATATCTAAAGTAATAAAGGCATGCCTGTGATACAAAGTTGATGTTTCAGTACCTCCCATTTAACAGGTGTTTCTTATTACTCAATGTTTTCTCAAAACTAAACACACAGGATTTCTAATGTCACTATAATCTTTGAAACTAATAGTTTCCAAAATAACTGGGGATGGTAAAATAGAATAATACACTGTGGAATACCAAAACTCTCCCCCACAAGAGGAATTTTTTTTCTTAAATAATCATGAATAGATTTCTGGTTGAGGTTTCCAAGATTCAATTTTCAAATCAGTTTTTTGGTAAAAATTGGGGAATATTTTTTTTAGGTGAAACTTAATTCAGTGTCTCTTACTATAAGAATGAGATTAAATTCTAAACATTTATGTATTTACCACAATTATTACCTTCATATAAATAATGGTGATATTTTTAACTTAAAATTCATTTAAGAGTTGAGATTTTTAATTCTTCTAATGGTTTACCTATTTCAGATTATTTTGATAACAGACCACTGGTAGGTAAGTAAATAAATAAGACTTGTTGGATAAGCATGTTTTCCAAGCACATTTCACTCATTAAGATACTCAAATTTTGTCACATATTTGTGACTAGTGAGTATCAAGGGAAAGCAAAAGGCAGGTAGATGGGGAGTGACCTCACCAGTGAAGCTCCAGGTCCTTGTTCCCCATGAGACACTGAGCTAACAACAATATAAGGACCAAAATACCTTTGTGAGAACTCTAGAAACCCCTTGGGAAGCTATAGCTCAAGCAAACACAAAACCAGGAGAAGGCTGCACCAAAATGTGTTAAGAAAATTTGGGGCATTTTGCTTGTCCTAGCCCTTCCCTTTGCCTGGCACAGCATGATGCAATTGAGAGGAAACCCCCAATTCGTGGCTCCTCCCTCAGGACAGAAAGGAAGAAGGTGAACTTGTGTCCAATATTCAGGCTTGTCTGGGGGCTGGCTGGCTGAGGGACTGAATTCTGTCTCACCTGACTTGGAGCACTAGTCGGAGTGGTAGCATGGTTTGGATGCTGGTTGTGGGCCACTGAAAACAGAAGTGAGCAAAGCATAGAGGTGCATTAGAGGAGCAGGGAGTCTACAGTTCTGTAGGCAGGTACAGGAGATCCAAGAGAGTACAGCCAGGAATAAAATAGAAAGTGGAACAGGAAGCTCCTGAGAAGAAACAGAGACAAGCCTCTTAGGGAAATTAAGACAGTTAAAAGCAGATATGTATCTTGGAATAAAAGCATACACACATGCCCAAAGAAGATACGTCCCTGGAAGTGGCTATTTTTCAAATGCCCAAATCTCAACAAAGTTCACAAGGTATATAAATAAACAGAAGAATGTGGCAAAATCTAAAACAAATCTAGAGAAACCAACCCTAAAGCAATGCAGAAATCTGATTTACCTAACAAAGAATTTTAAACAGTTGTCTTAAAGATGCTCAATGAACTAAAAAAGAACAAGACTGACAAATCAGGAAAATGATGCATGAACAAAATGAGAATGTCACTAAAGAGACAGAATAAAGAAGAATCAAATTCTGGAGCTGAAGAATACAATAATTGAATTAAGGGAAAAAAACGAGTTCAACTGGAGATTTGATCAGAGAGAAGAATTAATCAGTGACCTTGAAGAGTTACTGATATTATCAATAATTTTGGAGTCACTATTAGTAACCTTGGAGGTTATTTGATATTATCAAGTCAGAGGGACAAAAAGAGAAATGAAGAAAAGTGAAGAGAGCCTAAGGGACTTAGGGGGACATCAATAACAAAGTGGGGAGTGGGCAGAGCTAAAGGAATGGAGTTTTGTATGCAAATCTAGTTCTTACCAGCTTAAAATATTCTTATAACATTTTTAAATGTAATCCCCATGGTAACCATGAAGAAAATCTCTTTAGAATTTACACAAAAAGAAATGAGAAGGAAATCAAAGCATGTCACTACAAAAAAAAAAAAAAAGTCAATGAAACACAAAGGAGGAAGAGGGGAAATGAGGTACAGAAAAGCTACAAAACTTGCAGAAAACAGTTAACAAAACGGCAATAGTAAGTCCTTCCCTGTCAGTAATTACATCAAATGTAAATGGACTGAATCCCCCAATCAAAAGACATAGATTGGCCAAATGGATAAAAGTCTATAAGAAACTAACTTTAGATCTAAGGACACATATAGACTGAGAGTGAAAGGCTGGAAAAAGACATTCCATGCAAATGGTAACCAAAAGAGAGCAGAGGTGGCTATACGAATATCAGACAAAAGGGTCAATTCACCAGGAAGCTATAACAATTATAAACATATAGGCACCAAATACCTAAATATATGAAGCAAATGTTAATAGAATTGAAGAGAGAAACAGAATGCAACACAATAATAGTAGGAGATTCAATACCCACTTGCAAAAATGAGTAGAACCAACAGAAGATAAATAAGGAAACAGAGGACTTGAACAAAACTATAGATTAGTTGGATCTATCAGACATATACAGATACAGAACACTTAAACAGAAGAAGATACATTCTTCTCAAGTGCACATGGACCATTCTCCAGGACTGACCACATATTAAGCCACAAAACAAGTCTTAACAAATTTTAAAAGATTGAAATCATACGAAGTATCTTTTCTGATCATAATGGAATGAAACTAGTAATCGATTGCAGAAAGAAAAACTGGAAAGCCCACAAGTATGGAGAAATTAAACAGCACATTCTTAAAAAGCCATTGCAAAGAAGAAATCACAAATGGAATTAGAAAACATCTCGAGATAAATTAAAAACAGAACACACCAAAATTTATGGATGCAGTGCTAAGAGGGAAGTTTAGAGCTATAAACTCTTACATTAAAAAAGCAAAAAAGATCTCAAATCAACAACCTAACTTCACACGTCAAGGAACTAGACAAAGAACAATCCAAACCCAGAGCTAGCAGAAGGAAGGAAACATAGAGCAGAGATAAATAAAACAGACAACAGAAAACAATAGAAACAACAACAACAAAAAGAGTTGTTTGAAAAGATCAACAAAATTGCCAAACCTTTAACTAGATTAAGAAAAAAAGAATCAAATATATAAAATCAGAAATGAAAAATGGGACATTAACAACTAATGTAAAAAAAAAAAAAAAGGATAGAGACTATTATGTATTGGGTGGGCCAAAAAGTGCCTTCGTTTTTTTAAGTAAAAATAAAAGACACATTTTTCATTTTTACCAAGAACTTTATTGAATGATGCATTTACTCTTTTGTTCCACTTCCTTCTGCCATTTTTCAGGCAACTTCATAATTCTGTCTTCCCAAAACGTTATCTTTTTTTAATATATTTTT